TATATAAGGAAAAATAATATTAGTGAAGAAGAAAATGACTACTATAGTACTTTCTGCTCTCAGTTTCTTCTGCAGTAATGCCCTTACACCTTTCCTTTCCAGGCTTTTTGTAGCATCCTAAACAGAAGGATATTGAAGGGAGCTGATTCTGCTTTGATCCTTATGCTTGTTGTCAAAGCGCTTGGGATTGAAGAGACTGTTGGCTACAATTGACTGTGACAATTAGGAGATGATCAGAGCCCTAGAGTGGAGCACTTAAAGGGTAATTTACATGTCAGTTTGTCGAATAAAAAAAGATATTCAGCTAAGATTTTTTTTCCCCTCAGAGCCTTGTAAACTGCAATTTGTGCTCTAGTAAGAAAAACCTGGCAGAGGAGTTAGGATAGCCATTTCCATTTGAAAAGAGGCAATCATAAGGCCACTGCTGAGCCTATTGTCCACTAAAAATGCTGATTTGCAGTCAGCGAGTGAAAGAGTGGAACCATCACTAAATAGAACCTTGTGCAAGGTAACTCCCCCTTGGTGGCTTTTTAATGTTGGTTAAAGGTTTTATATACCTTAAATCCGACATTTACTATCATTATAACATTGTTACTGATCATGAATGTCCTTTATCATAACAAAAATTGAATGTATTGAGGGGGAGGTGGGTGGAACACAAGCTACTGGCAAGTTGATAGGCTAATGCTGGCTATCTATTGTATCAGATCTTTCTTATTCTCTTGCCTTTTGTGTGCCATCACAATTTTCTTCTTGTCACCCTTTGCACTTTGCCATTCAGGCACCTTCCGTAACAGTTTTCTCATAGGTTTTCCATACCTATCTATACTTCATTTTATACACACTCCCAGTAGATTTTTAGCATTCTCCACGTTTAACCTGCTGGGAAAAGAAAAGAGAGAAGGAGGTGATATTAGCAGTAGAGCTCCGAGTTTGCCTTGCTCTAACTAGTGTGATTAGGCTGTAATAAAGACTGTATACATACAGGTCTGAGAGATGAGTGCAGCTAAGAGCTGATATGCAAATAAATTTGTGATTTTTTTTTCCAAATTTCATAGCTCTAATGGGCCTGGAATTGCTTTGACTGTAGAGTTATATGTACTTATAAAAATATCAGAAAACAAAACAACCCCCCGACTCCATTATTCTAGTTTGTCTGAGCTACAGCATGTGTTATATTCTTATCACTTTAAGGAAGGGATATTAGGGGACATACTTAACACTCTAATGTTAGCATGCAAATAAGTACATTTATTTCGAGACTGTGTAATAAGCTTTTCTTCCAGAGATGGCATTGGCTCCTGTTTTATGATCATCTCCCAGAAAAGAAGAAATGGTCATGTACAGGATACCAGTTTGTGTACTGGAATTAAAGGCTTTGCTTTGTCATGATTTGACCAAGCAGTCCTTGCTGTGCAGAACTGGAAAGCATTGCCACCAAAACCCAGAGGCTACGTTTGTGAGGCAGTTTTGTGGCTTTCCGTCAATGCCAAGCGTGTACGCAATAGGTCTGATTCTGCCCTCGGTGGCAGATGCTGGTGAAATAACATGGACTGGAGCAGATTTCAGGTCTCTGCTGGTGCGAGCAGGATGAGGATCAGCCCCTGCCTGGCTATAGGGTCACCAGGATGCCCTTTCGTTAGCTATACGCCGTACATCCTTCGGCATTCGGTATGTTAAACACTGAACAATGAGGCTTCTATTTCTAGATTTGCACTAGGAACATGGTTTAACCTGGCTTCTGGGTGTGGGGAAGAACTATTTCCAAATACTTCCAAGTTGGTTAATACACTGCAGCTTTCCCCCTCATTTCAAGGTATAATTTAAAGAGCATTCTTTACACATTTTTTACACAAGATTTTTCTTCTTTAGGAGCATTGTTATGTTGTCATTTTCTCCATGCTGCTATAAATCTGACACGGTGGCTTTTGCCCCTTCTTCCCCTTGTTCAAAACTTTTTGAACGTCCCAATTTTTGCCATGTGCTTGTACATGGAATGTAAAGAACAAATAGGAATACATAAGATATGAAGACTAAATAGAATAATGATGGGGGGTGGGTCTGGAATGGCTTTGGCTTTGCATGCATCTGCAGAATTGAGGCAGTGGTAAATCTGAATTAAAAAAAAAAAATCAGGCACAGTAGGAGGTCCTCGTCTCCCAGGTAATGGCTAAATGACGAGCAGATGAGCCGTCGTCATATTGATTTAAGCATTTTGTTCCAGCCAGTCACAATTAACTTTGATTTGTTTTTACTTTCCTCTTACAGGTTTGCATTTAAAGGACTCTCAAAGCACTAATTGTATAAAATTCTAGTAACTGCACATTCTCTTGCTGGAAAGGTAATGAATTAATGAAAGGAGAATTTTTTTTTAGGTTTCCCTAAACTTTAGAATTTAAGTTAATCTTTGGAAATGAGCAGAAAGAAGAAAGTTTTGTTCAATGGGAATACATTTGCAAAAGTCTTACTTTTGGGGGGGTGGTAAGTAAAAAAGTCCATTAGGAGACTTTTGGGATGTAAAATTAATTAGAACTTAACTCTGAGTTGTGCATGTTTTATGAATTACCAAACCTTCTGTTCCAATCACTAAATGCATTTTATTGTAAGTTAATGTACTAATTGATCATAATGCCAGAAAGTGTATTAAATATCCCTAGAATTGCCTTCCTTACTCAAAAATACATAAAGAGTCAAAGTCTACGTATTCACAGTAAAAACATACTCTCTTATGCAACCCTAGGTTATACAGATTCAGTACTAATTTAAGTTTTAAGTTCATGAGAATAAATCATACCGGTATAACTACTCTTTATATGTGAGTAATTATATTCATAGTAAGACATTGTACAACTTTACATAGGTTTGAAATAGTAAAAGATCATGACAAATTACATGTAGTGAAATACTATGACCCCATTCAGCACCTATCTTCTCACTCAGTCTGAAATATATTCCTTTATTGCTTTGTGAATTAGTAATGTGATGTTGGACAACTACAGATGACTTCTTGTTAATTAGAAGTAGAATTTGAGATGCAGGCTGTGATGCATCAGAATTGCCTGTATTTTTCTGTTAAGCTGTACACTGTGTGAATAGCAAAATGTTTTTCAAGAATAGGCGGGGAAAATAAACTCGTGACATACGTAAGATGTTACCTTGAGGAAAGGCATGTAACTTCTTAATGTCCAATTTTCACTGAAATCATTTAAAATGTTGGCACTTTTAAAAATAGGATACTTGAATGAATGTTGAACTACCATCTTAATGTAAAAAAATCAAAAAACAAAAAAAGGTCTTTTTGGGGGATGGAGGACATACTGAATGGGATGTATGGTAATGTAAACTTGTAGACCTTAATAACGAGTCGTTTTACTGAATCAGACCAGATCTTCAGGTGATACAAATAAATAAAGCTCCATCATTAACTCTGGGGCAGCTGAAGATCTGCTCCATAAAATATGTCTTTATCTGAAAAATATCAGATGCTAGGAATAACCTTTGAATGTATTTCTAATAATAAGATCACTCTGGATACTCTAGGTGTCTCATCTTGAGTGATTTAAAAAATTTACCAGACATTCCTCCGCATTTCCTGGCTCACAAATAGTTTTGAAAAATCTTGCCATAGGTATAATCACTGGTGGCATATTTCTGATTATACTGTGCCCCAAATCATTTTTAAAATTAAACCTGAGAACTGAACCTTTACTGATCTCTTCTCCTTTTAATTTCTGCCTGGGACTGGCTGCAGAATTTGGATTAAAAATAAAATCACACAGGAGTCTTTTCCAATGAAGTTTTTGGAAGCAGGGAAAAAAAAAAAAAGAACAGCTCTGTGCAGATTGTTTTCAAGATTTCCTCCCAAAATGCAGAGTTAGGGCCAAATTTTCTACCAGTGTAAATGGTGTTTGCTCTGTTGAGGCAAATGGAGCTGAGCTCATCTCACCCACAGAGCACGAAGACCCAAGTTTTTCTTTTTAAAGGCAAATCCTAGCTAATCCTGAATTGTGAACCTTACAAGATTCAGCTTTCTCGTGAGAGAGTGCCTTTAGAGCCATCTTAGTGGATCCACTGTAATCTTCGATGGTCTTCTAACCCCCACCTCATGGGTCTGTGTCATGTTCCTGCGTGCCTTAGCCCAGTAAAGACTTGGGAGGCTATGTATGTGTAAGGACAGACCCTATCATTAAATTCATTATGATTCAGTAAGTGATGCTCATAAAAACAGATCATTCTCATGCCTGTTGATAGTCCAGCAGTTAAGTTAGCATACGTCAACTGGCGTCAGCATTGGCAAGAGTGGTCCATTTTGATGTACCCAAACAAAGCCCTTTTTCCTCTGTGATAACTCCGTTGACTGAAGTGGAGCTGCTAATTTGCTGCAGTGAAAGTGACAGCAAAGTCAAGCTAAAAGGAGAAAAATCATTTATATTTGCCTTCAGAATGCTGAGGCCCTAATAAAAAAAGTGTAAGAAATATTGGGCAAAATAGAGATCTGCACATACATATTAATTCATTATTTATGTCATTCAGGTTTTAACAGTTAGCAATAGCAATGACCTGAATATTAAACGGCAGAGTTAAAGTGGCTCTTGGGTGAAGAACAACAGAGAGACAAAACATGTAGTTGTAGTAAAGCAGTAGAGCACCACAAGTGTATTCAGTACCACTAAGATATGCAATCAAGTGAGTTTAGCACCTCCGCAGCCCAGCGCCTGAGCACTCACGTGTCTCTCATTGATGTGATCTGTGTGAGGTGCAGAGTAAGTGGTGGATTGACCAAGGATAAGAAGATAGCTACTGAACTACTGTCAACCTGAGCTGGTTGCTCTTTGGTTCAGAAACTGCACGAATGAAAGAATTAGTGCTATTCTTTGTTACCACAATCTGCATGTTGCCCTAGCACAATTTAGGATTGAAAAAGGGTGAAAGCACACATGGTGAGGTAGGCTTGTTACCATGGGGTAACCCCATGGTGTTAAAACTTCCTCTGCGTGCAACCGGAAAGATGCCTGGTGTTGCCTTCTGCTCAGTGAATCATGTAGGTGATGTATGTTGAGCTGCACTGACTTCTATTGGCTAGAAATCATGATAATTTTACAGTTAAAGGGAACATCCATTCCTTACCTACATAAAAGAAAAGATGATAAATGGCCTCCAAACCACGTTTATCACTGGCTATCAAAAATAAGTGAAAGTTTATATTCCTATTTGAGAAATAAATGGAAATGCTTTAGTCTGCATTACAAAGGAAAATCACGGAAACAATTCAGAATTCCAGTTGGCTTTCCTAAATATGGATACTAGAATTTTGAGTCAGGTGAAATTTCATTGGAGTAATTTCTTATAACATTTATTATGCAGCATACATGCCTTTTGCTGTTAGATGGGCAAACACTCGGCAAAATAACACGGCAAGGGGTTGAAGCTAACCATACGGCAAGCTGAAGCTCAGAACAAAATTAAAATTACCAGTGCCCTTGACCTTAATCACAACTACAGAGAAACAATAATTTCCCTTGACCAGCATTCTGGCTTTGTCGTATATGCAATTAACAGATGAGAACATGTGCTTGGCAATAAAGCAGAAGTTGGACTTTTGGTAAATGTCTCAGCTGAGCCATGGTCCTGTGCGGGAGCCTGTGGGGTGTCAGTGCAGGGTACCTCCACTCAAGCGAGTGGCATTATTCTGCGTGGTCAGAGGCATATCTCAGGCCAGGGCTCGTGCTTAGGCTCCGGGCCCTTTTGGATTATTTGAGGGCGTCAGATGGGACAGCACAGTGCAAAGCGGCCCTAGCATAAACATGGGTCAGATCTTTCTCTTGCAACACGCAAAGAGAAAATTATTAAAAGTTAATGGTTTCTGAGTATCTTCATATACACACAAATATCTCATCTAGTCCAAAAGTGAAAGTCCAGTAGTTTTACTTCATTTAGATAATTCCACTTCAGCTTTTGTTATGCTCCACGGCGATAACAAGGTGCTAGAATCACAAAGAGCGCAACTGCAGACTTCTCTTTGGTAAGGTGCCAGCAACGGGGTCAAACGAACCTGCAGATTCATGTACTGTTAGCCAAAATCCGACTATCAGATCTCCGTCTCTCCCTCATCCAGGGCGAGAGTCTGATCTCATTTGCACTGGTGTAAGCTGAATGCTAACCTCGCGCTGCTGTAAAACCAACATACGCGAGAAGAGAATTGAAGTCTAAGTTTGCAGTGCTTTACATATGTCTGGGGTTGATGAGAAAATTAGCTTTGACGTTCTGAATTCATGCTGAAAAGTGTGAGGGAAAATGGGATGATTATTATTAATAATCAGTAGCAGAAGTCAAATGACTGAAGTACTATTTGAAGTATAACGATACGCTTCTAAAAGTTTGAAATGAACTATTCAAAGTTTAAAACTTATAATATTAATTCATGTGTGTTTCTTTAATGTCTGATTAGCAGAAAGTGCAGAACAGATGTTTTTCCCTTTTCTTCGCAGATAGCTAACTTTTGCCTCTTCCTTTAAAATGTAAAATATGCATCACAGTTTGGAAAACATTCACAAAAGATTACTTCATACTGTGAATTGGAGCTGCCTTCCAGAGGGATACATTCTAGTCTGGTCAGATGCAATTGCCTGCAACTACTATTGCCTTTTTAAAAAGTTTTGCCATCT